CCTGATCATTTTAGTTGCCCTCCCCTCTCCCAGCCTCTCTCTTCCCCTCTCCCACCTCCTTTTCCCAGTCTCCCCCAGTTTTGTTCAACAAAGACAGATTCCATTTTTGAACACAATTGTCCTTTATTTTGTACATCAAGAAGAGGGTCTAGGGAAGGGTAAGTGGAAGGAGGTGAGGGAGGAATGGGGTACACGCCCCCAATGGGGAGGACTGGGCTGGCTCTGTGGGCTTCTGGGGGTGGAAGCTCTCCTGCAGCCCCCCAATTGCCCACTCTCCCCAGATGGCAGCCTGCGGCAAGTGCAGCCGGGCTGATGGCCGGGTGGTGTGATGTGCCCAGTGTGGGTACTCCGGGCAATCCAAGCCAGGACTGCTTTGCAAGTGGGGCACCCCTGAGAACTGTCTGTCCGGGGTGGGGGTCGGGACCCTTTAAGCACAGCCCTCGGCTAGCCTGAGACAGCATCTCCACGCTCTAAGTTCTCCTCTGATACCCTGCCAGCACTGCTTCCGGGTCCACTTAATGTGGACATGCTAGTTCGAATTAGCAAAACGCTAATTCGAACTAGTTTTTTAGTCTGGATCCGTTAGTTCGAATTAGCTTAGTTCGAATTAACTAATTCGAACTAAGTTAGTTCGAACTAACTTTGTAGTGTAGACGTACCCTCAGTCTTAACTAGTCCACTCCCTGAGGGAAATGGTTAAAAGCAGGGAGAAGGGCAAAAACGAAAGCCTACAACTACTGGACTGGCTTGCAGGCCATCTCGGACACCACAGAAGATGTACTGAGGGTTTGTGTATCCCTGGGCAACAGATAACAAAGGAGTTACAGTAGAACCAGGATGGTTCAGAAGAAAACCACAGGAGTTTATCAGCATCCTTGGAAAAGGCATGATTATGCCCAGATGGTATGTGTTGATTGGAACATAAACTATGCCACAATAGATTCAAATTGGCATTTAAATTAGGTAGCAAGAGAATATGAGCATAGTCAAAGATACTCAACAACAATGAATCGCTTAAACACGTTCGAAGCAAGATGCATGCATGATTGGCAAACCCTTTAGTACCTTACAGTAAAGTAGCAGGGAAGTGAATTCCACTTCTCAGGGCTCTTTTCATTGCAGAGGACAATGGGCAGATTGCTCATCCACGGGCTCTCTTCACAGGAAAGCAGCATGGCCGTAACAGACAGACACCCAAATCCCTGAGGACGAAGCTCTGGCACCAGGGCCAGACTGCGTTCAGAAGGGTATAAAGTCTCCAGTAATGGACATGTGGATGGAGAAGACGACACACAGTGACTGTTTCTGGAGCAATTGGAAAGTCACGGACATGACAAAAGTGGCAAGGAGTCCTGTGGCACCTTATAGACTAACTGAAGTGTTGGAGCATAAGCTTTCGTGGGCAAAGACATGACAGTGGTTTTTAAATCCCAGCAATTAAGATGGGCGAAACTGACTTTGGTTCGAGGGAAAGCGACTGGAAGGCTCACTAGGGGGGGTGGAATAGCGCAATACCCTGAGGGCGCCAATCCAGTTTGGCTTCTGGAAGGGCAGATCATG